CTGAGAAGTAGCTTATAGAAACTCTGTTGGGGGGAAAAAAGAAGCCTGCGACTTTAATTATACTGATAGAAGCCTGAATATATCCCTTTGTTAAGAGTAATTTTTTACTCTGCAAAAAAGACATAACTGTTTTAAATGTCAATTCTATATTGTAGTGCATATTTGTGTATGGTTTGACAGGCAAAAAAATAGTAAAGCATTTCACTGGGAGTGTCTTGCTTCTTCGTATTATTTTCCATTTCCCTAGCTTTTCTAGAGAGCCTCTTACCCCCAATTTACCACACACACTTCCTTTTACTCTTAATTGGTGCCTCACTCCATTGTCCTTGCAATGGATTAAGAACACTTGCATACTTAGCCTACTGAGGAATTTAATATTTTTATTTTTTCCTGTATTGGTTTTTAGAGAGAGAGAAAAGGAGAAGATTAGAGAAATAGAAACATTGATAAGAGAGGAACATCATTGATCAGCTACCTCCTGTAAACCCCCTACTGGGGATCGAGCCCGAAACCCAGGCATGTGCCTTGACTGGGAATCCAACTGGTGAACTTTTGGTTCTAGGTCTGCACTCAACCAATGAACAACACTGGCCGGGCTTTAATTTTTTTATACAAAGACTAAACTTGCATAACATAGCATCCCTGGGGTGTGTCAAGACTCGGTCTTCCTATTCTAATTTGCTTGTTTCTCATCTTCTCTGAAACAGGAAGTAATATAAGGAAGCAACAAGTGAAGAGGAGTGCTTCCACAGGAAGAACAATTCTTGATTAGAAAGCCTGGTGATCCAATAACCTGACAGAGGCATAAAAGCTAAAGCAGCTCTGCCTCATTTATACTCACAATGCCCTCTTTTGAGAAATGAGCCAGCAATCAGTCTTTTCTATAAAGTGAAGGAATTGCACTCTCTAGTTCTCTCCAACACTAATACTTGAGCATTTGTGAATTAGGGAGGGACACTTATTTTTTTTTAAAATATGTTCTTATTGATTTTTAGATAGAGAGGAAGGGAGAGGCATAGATAGAAACATCCATGAGAGAGGAATTGAATGGCTGCCTCCTGCACGCCCCCTATTGGGAATAGAAAACGCAACCTGGGATGTGCCCTGATCAGGAATCCAACCAGTGACCTCTTGGTTCCTAGGTCAATGCTCAACCACTGAGCAACACCATCCAGGCTAGGAAGGGACATTTTAGGGGATCTCTCCTTACACAATAGCTGGTTCTTTCATTTGTTTTGTGCATGAAACATAAATGGGATGTTAGTTAATTAAATCGTATTTTTATCAAAAACTCCTAAAACAGTTTTTCTTCCTTACCAATGCTACAAATAAGCAATGATACATAGCTGTTATGATTCCCAGTCCTTGGAATGTGGCTTTTTTTTTATTATCTCCGAAAACTTTTAGGACCTTTTATTTATCCTTGGAATTCTGAAATTTCATCATGAGTATGTATGCTAAGAAAATTTCAAGGACACGGAAAGAAGCATTCAAAAGGACAAAGTAAATAATCCACAACCCCAGTTCATGAGAATAGTGCCTGTTTTTGACAGGAAAAGAAGAAGCACATAATTCAGGGGGCCTTGGGTTGTGGGACACAATTAGCCTTACACAAAATGCTGAACTGGCTCCACCTTCCAAAGCTTATAATCAAGCCTCAAAAGCACAAAACTGCTTTCCTATCTGCATTTCAAAACAAATATCAAAAATACTTATAGGAGTACAAAACTATGCAGCACCCCCCCCCCAAAAAAAAAGTAATTTCACAAGGCCTGGCCATATATACACCAGTCATGTAAGAAGGAGGAAATTATGAGCCATAATGAAGAGAAAAATCAATCAACATATTTGATTTAGCACTGTTGTACCCAAAATAGCACAGATGGTAGAATTAGTAGACAAGAACATTAAATTTGTCGTTATAATTGTATTCTATATGTTCAAGAAGCTACAGGAAAGATAGAGCATGTTAAGTAAGGACATAAAAATGTGGAATCACACACACCCTTAAATAAAATTACTAGAGATAAAAAAAAACACAACATCTGAGATAAAATATGAACTAAATGGGTTTAAGAGAATATTGTATATGAAAATAGGAAATAGCTTGAAAAATCAAAGTGGACAGAACAGAGCATCAGTGAACTGTAAGACAATGTCAGGCAGAGAATTATGCATGTAAGTGGAGTCATCACAAGAGTGGAGCTGCAGAATGGGGAAGAGCATGTATTTGAAGAAATAAGGGGAGACCAGCCAGCATGGCTCAGTGGTTGAGTGTTGACCTATGAACCAAGAGCGCATGGTTCGATTCCCAGTCAGGGGACATGCCCAGGTTGTGGGCTTGATCCCCCAGTGCGGGTGTGCAGGAGGCAGCCAATCAATGTTTCTCTCTCATTATTGATGTTTCTATCTCTCTCTCTCTCCCTCTCCTTTCCTCTCTAAAATAAATTTTTAAAAATATATTTTTTTAAAAAAGAAATAAAGGCAATGTCTGCATTTGTCTATCTAGCTCTACATGCTCTACATAGTATTCTCGGTGCCTAGCAAGGCACCTGGTAGACATCAGGCATTTGATAAACATTTCTTGAATACACTTGTGGCAGAACAATGAATAAGAGGAAAGCACATGAGTGCAGGGTATACAGAAGAGAACCAAAGAAGGGAAACAGTATGGAGAAAAGGAAGCTTAATAGAAGTGTTATGTCTTCAGTAGGAACCTGAAGGATGAACTCAGTTTGAAGATGTGTACAGTGTAGAGATTTGGAGGAGATGAAGAAGGGCATTCCACATAAGAACAATATAAATGAAGACTTGAAAGCAACAATAAATATGGTTTTTGAATAATAGTCTCCTTTTATCCATGAGGGAAACATTCCAAGACTCCCAGTGGGTGCCTGAGACTCCATATAGTACCGAGCTTTAAATATACTATATTTTTTTCATTACATACATACCTATGATGAAGTATAATTTTAACTTAGGTGTAGTGAGAAATTAATTACTACTAATAAAATAGAACAGTTATAATACACTGTAATACAACTTATGTGAAAGTGGCTTCTGCCTCTCTCTCTCTCTCTCTCTCTCTCTCAAAATCTTATTATACTGTACTCACCATTTTCTTCTCATGATGATATGAGATGATAAAATGTCAAACCTATTTCTGCATCCACGGAACCATTCCTTACCTGCTGTAAATGGCTTGGTGTCACTCATTTCAGGAGATCCCTTGCTGAAATCTTCATATAGGCTCAATGTTTCTAGTACAACATGCTGCTGTCAATCAGACAAGTATTTTGTTTATGTCTTCTACCTAGGAACATATTAGCTCTCTGGCCATAACTTTTTCAGGTTGAAGTGTGACAGCAAAACCAGCACACATTACTTTTTCCTTCTGCACAATTTTACAAATAGAAGATTTTTTTCTTACCACAGATCTTAGCAACCTCAGAATACGATTTTCTTTCCATAGCAAATCAAGAACTTTCATCATTTCACTTACAGAAAGCACTTTATGGCTTTCTTTGGCATATCCGAATTACTAGCATCCTTATTCTTGTGCTTTGGGCTATTATTAAGTAAACCAAGGGTGCTTTGAACACAAACACTGTAACACCGGACAGTGGTCTGATAACAAAGAAGGCTACAACGTGACTAAGGGGCAGGAGCACATACAGCATGAATATGCTGGACAAATGGATGATTCACTGCCCGAGTGGGATGGAGCAGGACGACTTGAGATTTCATGATGCTACTCAGAATAGCACACAATTTAAAACTTATGAATTATTTATTTCTGGAATTTTCCATTTAATATTTTTGGGCTGCGGTTGAATGCAAATAACTGAAACCATGGAAAGTGAGACTGCAGATAAGGGAGGACTATTGTACCACCTCCACTGGAGTGGAGGATACTAGAAATGAGTTTAGATGGATGTGCTAGGATCAGACTATGAAGTCTTTAGAAATAGAAAATGTAGAAACCCATCGAAAGTTCCTGAACAGAAACCTTTGATGATGAAATCAGAATCCAAGGAGGGAACAGGAGTATAATGGTGACAGTCATGGTGAATTGGGAGAGAATACTACTGCTGAATGGAACCAGTAGGCCAGGAGTTTGTTAAAAAAATAATCCACAAACTTGTATGTGAGGGCACCTAACATATCAGCACAGACTAGGGCTTAATAAATGTTCGTGGCATTTAAATACTGGGCAAATTAATATTTCATTTAAATTCAGGACCAAACATTTTCTTGGTTCATGACATTTTAAAAAGTGGCCCTAAAAATCTGTACTGCATTAAAAATAATATTTACTTCACAGTATTTCATTTACATAAGATTCTAGATCAACTTTTTAAAAAGTATTCTTATTGACTTTTAGAGACAGAGAGAGGAAAGGAGGAGAGGGGAAAATGGGTGTGAGAGCGAAACATCAGATACCTACTTCCCACGCCCTGCTGGGGATCAGGCTGTATCCCAGGCGTGTGCCCTGACCCTGGATCCAACCGCAACCTTTCGATCAGGATGACGACCAACCAACAGCCACACCAGCCAGGGCTAGACCAACTATTTAGAATTCCTTGGTGGTGCCCCCACGGGCTTTCTTCTCTTGGTTACCAGGTGTGTTTCATGGTTTTTGTCCTCTTCATCCCTACTCTCAAATAGATTTATAGTGAAGATTCGAGCTTTGGATTTTTTTTAAAAAATGCATTTTTATTGATTTCATAGAGGGAGAGAGATAGAAACATCAATGACGAGAATCATTGATCGGCTGCCTCCTACATGCCCCCTACTGGGGCTCGAGCCCCGCAACCCAGGCACGTGCCCTGGACCTGAATGGAACCCGGGACCCTGCAGTCCCACGCGCTATCCACTGAGCAGACCGGCCAGGGCTCGAGCCTTGGATTTTTAAAATTAAAGCAATGCTTAGCGTATCCTATTTACACCTCAGTGGCACGGTATCGCAGAGTCCCATCAGGGAGGGGGACTTTGGGGACATGGGTCTGCCGCACAGAGGAGGACCCTGGGGCTGGACGTGGACACGGGCAGCCGGGAACAAGGCTTGCATCGGAGGCGGGAGCACGAGCCGGGAAAAGGGCTCTTTTCCGCCTGACGAGGCTGGAATTCGGGAACCTTTGAACCGCCCAAGGTGCGGGGGGAGCCCGACCTCCAGCACCCGCGCTCAGGTGCCTCCACCCAGGGGCCCCGCCTCTCGCGATACTGGCCGGCCTTCGCCCTCCTGG